TTTTAAGTGGACGATAATAATTTTATTCGTGTAACGTTTATATTGAATGACACTTGATCTGCAATGTCCCGCGACTACTAAATTTCTAAGCCTTTTAAAATGTGCTTTTTTTCATCAGGATCTGTATTAATTAAATTCTGATGAGTATTGAATTTACTAATAAGCAGTTGTTCACATTTCCACTCCAGCTTTTAAAGATTGTCATATTTCTCTATATTTCTTGGGCCTGCCATATATAACTCATGGACTTTTATTTCATTTTTCAGAATTTTTAACTTTGAGTAAAGACTTATCAACATGCAAGATCAATTCTTGAAGAAAATATCATATGTACCTAACTTCAATTAAAAACTTCTAGCAATTGTATGTAATTTCACTGTAATTTTGATAAAGCTTATGTCTGGCCTTTGATCTCCATTGTTTGCTAACATGGGTTACTCTAATCAATGCTGTTGTAGGAAGGTATCTGAATATATTTTCAAGAATTTCGGGTATAATTAATGGGTTACTCATTTTTTTGTTATTAGTTCATCAGGAAACTTTTCCCGCTGTAATATTACATCTGTAAGTTTTAATATGAAATGTCGTAATATTTTGCATAAAAAGGACATAATATTTACACTGAATGTAATAATTGTGTAATTTTTGTGCAATTTTTGCATAATATTACACTATTTATGTAAGTTTATGGTGGGCCCCATAATATTACATAAATTTACATCAGAAAAAATTTCCTGATGTTGAATTAATTCAATTGCAAATTCTGATTGAGTATCTTACTAGATATTTATAGTATGGGTATGTTCAATTCGAAAAATGAGTGTGTTATTATTATTCACACATGATCATGGGCAGTAAATTCAAATAGGCTAAATTTTGGGACATAATAACTTTTATCTAATGGTCCGATTTTGATGGATTTGGGCTGGTTAGAATCATCTGAATGAGGAGAATATTACCTGATTTTGGTCCAAGGATGGTGGGTATACATAGGTGGCAGGTCATATAAAAATATGAAACTTATTGGATTGAGCACAAAATTCGGTTTTGATTAATTACTAATCAATAAGACATACCTGACTTCCTTTCTTTCTCATATTCACTGGAATGATATAATTCCCTTAAATAGTTATATTCTGCTTCCATAAACCAGATCATATCATGATTTTGGTGAACAGGATATTTACCACTTTCATACTTTTTATATATCTCAGCTTTACACTCCCTAGCCCATTCCTTTCTTTGGTTACCTTGGTGCTTTCAGCTTCGATTTCTTCTATTTCTCTTATAAAATTATTAATCTTATCAGTGGTATAATACTTACTCTCAGGATTATAATTACAGTGCTTTAATTCATGGTATTTTGGGATAATGTGCCTTCTCCAATCTGGTACCTTTTCTCCCTTATTTTTAGCATATTTCCCAGATGAAATAGCTTTAGCTCTTGGTTTCTTTGGAGTATATTTTCTTTGGTATTTCCACATACTTGATTTCTTCTCTGACCTCTACTAAATCACTGGGTCCCTACTGTCATTGAGGAATTTTAATGGATTGCTAATATACATGGGATGGTAATTATTTTGCCAAAAATGTAATATGTAATACATAGTTACGAAATTAATTACGAAATCAATTATGGGTGATGAAATCAATTATGAATGACAAAATTAAATGACACCTATTATTTATCTCGTTATACTAGTATAATAATAATGACATGATTTGTCAACTTTTTTTAGAATTATAGAATTTATTCTGTTATAACGACATGTCAGTATAATGGGAGAACCAATCAAAATCATTCTCATTTCTGAAAAAACATAAGGAAATAAAACTTACACTGGGATCAAGATTGACCGGCATCATGGAAAATTCTGATAACACTTCTGTACAATGCTAGTCAATTTTGACCTGTGTAAGTTTTAAATTTCCTGATAAAACATGAATGAAATAAAAATAATAAAAATAAAATTACAAAATCACATGACAATGATTCTCACATGACTTCTATATGAACTCCCGTTATAATGACATCCTCGTCATACTGACATTTTTTGCTTGTACGGAGAGTGTTGTTATAACGGGAGTGACTTGTATTATGATATTTCCAATAATTAATTTGTTGTTATTCATAATTAATTTTGTCACCTGTAATTATGTTTTTAAAGAGAAAAATGGTAATTAATTACGATAATTATGTACTTACGGTAATTATGCAATTACCATCTCATGTATAGTGTTAACAACGGTTTGCATAGAAAATTTTCACAATAGTAATTAATTTGTCGCCCATAATTAATTTGTCACCCGTAATTAATTTCATTACCCATAATTAGTTTCGTCACCTGTAATTAATTATGTAATTACGTTTTTAAAGAGTGAAAGTGGTAATTAATTACGTTAATTACGAATTACATATTTATGGTAATTAGCTAATTACCATATCATGTATAACCTTGTATCAATGTTTATTATTTTGCATGGATAATTATCACCAACACCAGCACCAACACCACCATTATCATCTTCTTCATAATATTGATACTCTGCATTTATTTTATTATTTTCCATTATTTTATTTTTAATTTTTTTTGTACAAAAAGCATTTTCATTTATAATTGGCCAGACAATAATAATAATTAGTATTAGTCGACTATTAGTTGTTTAAAAAAAAGTTAGTTGACTAAATTAGTTGACTATTTTAGTCGATTCCAACCTCTATTTTATAGCATTAATAAGTTGAATTGATGTACTTATCAGTATATTGTTCTAACTTCAATAGATGGCTAGGCTCTGCTTGTATTGGTACTAGCTGTATTGATGCTCAAAGAAATTTTCAAAATCAGTACTAGAGGTTGGGAATCATAATCATGTATTTTCCCATAAAAATCATCTGCAAAAAATCATCTGCAAAAATATCTGCAAATTCATCACCCATAATATTATCTGATAATTCCTTCATTAAGGAATTAAAATGCATGGTTTTTTCTTTAATTATAATGATTATAATGATTATAGTAATTAAAGCTCCTAACAGGTCAGGTTCGGGCTTGGCCCAAATGTTTTAAAGGCAAACCCGAGACCAACCCAAACCCGACCCAAAATTTTCGGGTTGATTTCGGGTTAATAAGAAAATTTTGTGATTTACATAAATTCAGGTAATAATAATTAATTAAATATAAAAGGCGAAACAGTTATAGTGGTTTAAAAGCTGTAATTTGTGTCATGCGTGACGC